ACTCTTCCAAATACCGAGCTATGCTAAGTTCTAAAAGGATATTCTATCAAACAAATGCAAGCTGGAAGAACGTGAGACAGTAATGCTAACTGAAGAAGTAAGCATGAGAATCCAGAAAAAGCTTCCACCAAAACTTAAGGATCTATGGAGTTTTACTGTCCCTTGTACAATTGGTGATATTTATTTTGAAAAAGCTTTATGTGATCTGGGTGCCAATATTAACTTAATGCCATTATCTGTTTTCAGGAAACTGGGATTGGGGGAAGCTAAAGCAACTACAGTGACACTCAGGGAGTTTTACTGTCCCTTGTACTATTGGGGATAGTTATTTGGAAAAAGCTTTATGTGATCTGGGTGCCAATATTAACTTAATGCCATTATCTGTTTTCAGGAAACTGGGATTGGGGGAGGCTAAAGCAACTACAGTGACACTACAGTTGGCTGACCAATCTCTCACGCATCCATGAGGAATAACTGAAGATGTGCTAATCAAGGTGGAGAAGTTTATATTCCCTGCTGCCTTTCTCATTCTGGATATAGAAGAGGATAGGGATATCCCTCTGATTTTGGGAAGACCATTCCTAGCCACTGGGATAACGTTGATTGATGTTTAGAGGGGACAACTAAGTTTGAGATTGGGTGAAGAACAGATTTCATTCAATGTGTTCAAGGCTATACAATTTCCCCCTGAGTCAAGCAGTTGTTTCAAGATTGATGTGATCAATAAGGTAGTCCAGGACAATTTTCTGCTTCACAACCCATCAAATGCTTATGAGGCATGTATTGTACATTCTCACTCAACACAATCTGAATCAAGTGAGATTGAAACCTGCGCGAGATTCCTGGAAACAAATCGACCATATGCATGCAACAGAACCTTTAAAGAACTTGGAACGGGTTCAGCAAAACCTCTACCATATGTACAGAGGCCTCCTAAATTGGAATTGAAGCAACTACCACCACATCTCCGATATGCTTACTTGGGCAAGTCATGTACACTCCTAGTTATTATCTCAAGTACAATCAGTGATATGGATGAAGAAAAACTACTGGGGGTACTCAGAGAGCATAAAACAATAATAGGTTGAACCATTGCAGATATTAAAGGATTATCCATTCGTTATGCATGCATATGATTTTCATGGAAGAGAATTTTCGACCCAGTATGGAGAGCCAAAAGAGGTTAAACCCCAACATGAAGGAAGTGGTCCGAGTCGAGATACTAAAGCTATTGGATGCAGGGATCATCTATCCTATTTCAGATAGTGCATAAATCAGCCCAATTCAGGTTGTGCCGAAAAAGGGGGGAATAACAGTTGTGCCGAATGAAAAGAACGAGCTCATTCATACCAGAACAGTTACCGGATGGAGGGTTTGCATTGATTACCACAAACTCAATACAACCACTAGGAATGATTATTTTTCTCTCTCGTTCATTGATCAAATGTTGGAGAGGTGGCAGGTTATACACATTACTATTTTCTGGATGGCTATTCAGGATACAATCAAATACCAGTGGTGCCGGATGATCAGGAGAAAACAACATTCACATGTCCATACGACACTTTTGCTTACCGTAGGATGCCATTTGGCCTTTGTAATGCACCTGCTACATTTCAACGTTGTATGATGGCGATCTTCTCTGATATGGTTGAAAAATTCATTGAAGTGATTATGGATGATTTATTGATTTTCGGGTCTTCATTTGATGAATGCTTAAAACACTTAAGTTTAGTCCTACAGAGGTGCATGGAGACAAATATGGTACTGAACTTGGAGAAATGTCATTTTATGGTATAGGAGGGCATTGTACTGGGACACCGGATTTCAGCTAAGGGAATTGAAGTGGATATGGCACAAATCCAAGTTATTGAGAAATTACAACCTCCAACTTTTATGAAGGGTGTTAGCAGTTTCTTGGGTCATGCTGGGTTTTACAGACGGTTCATACAGGATTTCTCGAAGATCACTAAGCCATTGTATAACTTGTTAATGAAAGACACTCCATTTGACTTCACTGGAGAGTGTTTGGTGGCTTTTCAAACACTAAAGGAGAAACTTCTTTCAGCACCAGTGGTTGTCACGGCGGACTGAGATTTACCATTTGAGTTGATGTGTGATGCCAGTGACTACACAGTGGGAGTTGTCTTAGGGCAGCGAAGGAACACAGTTTTTCACGTGATATACTACGCCAGCAAAACTTTGAACGATACACAACTTAACTATGCCACCACGGAGAAGGAGTTGTTAGCTGTAGTGTATACAATTGATAAGTATAGCTCGTATCTTGTTAGGTTGAAAGTCATTGTTCACACAGATTACGCAACACTGAAATATCTGATGACAAAGAATGACGTCGTGCCGAGGCTGATTCGTTAGGTTTTACTATTACAGGAGTTCGATATTGAAATCAAAGATAAAAAGGGTAGTGAAAATGTGGTAGCAGATCATTTATCCAGGCTGGCACTTGAGCAACTAGACAAATCGGTGGATATCAATGAGATTTTTCCAGACGAACAACTATTCAGTGTGGAGACAGCCCCTTGGTACATGGATATTGTGAATTACTTGGCCAAATCCATTCCACTTCCGGATTATTCAGCTCATTGGAGAAAGAAGATCTTTATGGACTTGAAATAGTACTTTTGGGAAGATCCAGTTCTATATAGGCGTGGAGTGGATCAGATTATCCAACGGGGCATGCCTAAAGAAGAAGTACCTTAAATTCTAGAGCAGTGTCATTCGTCTGCATATGCAGGACACTTTGGGGCCTCTAATACATCAGCAAACATCTTGCAGTCGGGGTTTTACTGGCCTACTTTGTTCCGGGATACTTTTGAGTTTGTGAAGAGGTGTGATCGATGTCAACGCATGGGAAATGTATTAAGAAAGAATGAAATGTCACTGAAGAGTATTTTAGAAGTGGAGCTGTTTGATGTTTGGAGAATTGACTTCATGGGATAATTCCCATCTTCATTCTCCAACCAATACATTCTCGTGGCGGTTGAATATGTTTCAAAATGGGTGGAAGCAGTAGCATTGCCTACTAAGAATGCAAAAGTGGTGATTGGGTTATTCAAGAAATACATTTTCACTCGTTTTAGACAGTAAGTTGGACAGCACTTATGTAATCACCAATTTGATTCTGCACGATTGTAGTTGCTCATGTTGTTCATACTTGTTATCCCATTAAAATGAGACTAGCTGAGGTGCCTAAAGAGGTACAACCGAGGCTCCCCAAATGGCTAGCCGAGGCTCTCCAAATGACTAGCAAGGTGCCTAAAGAGGTACAAACCGAGGCCCATGTTGAGGCCGAGGTCCATACCAAAGTCGGGGTCCATGCTGAGGCCGAGGTCTATACCAAGGACGAAGCCCTACAACATTGAGCCGAACCACTGCCTAAGGAAACAAAGAAATGAGCTAAGGCTTTCCACTCGGAAAACCACCTCAAAGATCTCTCCGAAGCTATTAACTCTTCCGAAGTTCACGAAGCCGACGTTGTCTCTTGTAATAGATTTGAAGATCTTTAAGAAGTGATTGATGTGACGTCTGTAATAAAGTTTTGACAGTGTGTCAGCCTATTGTATAGAGCGACTGACCTCTTATCAATGCATTAATTGCATGAATGGACAATGATGTGACGTCCCAACAAAGGAGATGAGGCCACGTGGTTATGATCCAAAGGTCACCACCTCGGCTAAGACAGCATAAATAGGCTCTCTTTGTAAAGAAANACGTTATGCGTTCTTGTATATTGACATTTGTCATAAAAATATAGTCAAATAGTATGCGAGAATATGTTTAACTCCACTTGAAAGAGAATGTTAAATATTTTAGGAACATTGATTCTTCAATCAATTCACCGTGCTATCAAATTGTGAAATAAAGGTTAAAAGTGAACTTACTTGGCGATTCGAGATTCTAGTACGCTTTTCATACATAGATTTCTTCAAGTATTTGCATTCAATTCGTAATTTGCATTTAGTTTGTTTACTTCCATTTAAATTTACATTCGTAATATAATTTAGATAATTTCACATTTGAATCATCTGATTGAATCAACTTAGTTCGGTTAAGGTCGAGATAATTAGAATTTGAACTAATTCAAACTCTGTGGGAACGATAGTTAGACTTTAAAACCCATTTTATTACTTGAATGATCCGTACACTTGCGGTAATCAAAGTTGAATACATTTTCGGCGTGTCATTTGGTTAATTTCTTTTTTTTTTCTCATAATGTTGGGATAGTGTATTTTATGCTTTAAATTCATCTATTAAGATGTAAACTAGCTTGCTTTGATATTTGAACATTTGAACAAAAAAAAATCTATAGTATTGAAAAAGTAGATTAGAGTCGGGGTTTGTGAGGAAATCTCCACAGAACCCCATTGGAGGCATGTACGAAGCCATAAATATTGTTCGGTGATGCAAAATTT